TCCTGCGTGGGCGTTACCCACGGAGGCCGCGCGCTGGCTCCGCTCGCGCGCCGTCGCGGCCCGGCCCGGCGGTGCTGCTCGTCGCGTGGGCACGCGCCCGCTTCGCCTTTTTTTTCCTCGAAACGTAAATGCTGCTTCGTAGCAAGGTGCCTTACATTTTTCTGTGCTAAATACCGTTTTTAAGGCTTGCCCATGTTGAGAAGGCACTTTCCGATCCTAAAGCTGAAGATTTTCTGTTGTTCGTTCTCCACTGACCAGGTGACATGGTTGCTGCCTTTTGCTGGGTGACCGTGTTCTCCCCAGACGTCTCTGTCATCCCCCGCGCTCTTCGCAAACTGGAGGAGTAGCTCACGTTGTGACTGCTGTAGCTGTTCAGAAGGTAGAGTCACATGCTGTCACCACATGGATTTCATAGTTGTGTTGGAGGAAGGGGGTAACAATGGACTTTCTGACCCCAGCACGGTCCTCTGTAACTGTGATTAAGACTAATCTCTGTTGGTGCAACAGTTGTAGAGGAGGTAGGCTCGTGTACATCCAGCCACAAATGGATTGTTTAAACTGTGCATGTTAAGGGAGCCCCACTTGCAGAAGTGGGGCTCCCACTGCTTCAGCAAAAGTCCTTTGGATTTTCTGTTAAATTAAAACAAAGGTTTGGGAGAATTTAAGTTTTCAGATCCTGCCCAAGGACACTTCTATATCACTGAATTATAGAGAAGATTATTACAATTCATGCCTTATGCAGATTCTGTCACAAACATGCAAATACTGTCAACTTAATTACAGTTATCCTGGACAAAGATTTTGCTACTATGTCCTAGCAGGTGCCTGTAGTTCCGCGGCTTTTCTGCAGTCAAAATAAAATGTTTGTATTAAGAGTATGACATTCCAGAACCATTCATGACACTTGTAAACTTGAAAGCAAGATTTTATAAGAAAATAAAATTTCATATTTGTAAAATACACATACTGTGCATTCTGCTTCCTTTATTTACTATTTCAAACACAGTGTCATTTGAATATCATATCTCTTGGGGAGCTACAATAATATTTCTAAAGAAAAAATAGCATAAATAGAAAAAATATTTTTAGGTGCTGCAGTTAATTTGACCCTGGTAAAAGTACAGTCATAAAAGTGCAGTCAAGCTAACTGCAAATGACTATTTCAGATACTTCTTAGCCAGAGATGAGAATGTTCCTTTTTTAATATTCCAAAACATTCATGTTTTGTGTATGTCAGAGTTTGATTTTCAGCTTGATTAAATTGGTTTAATTACTTTGATTTACTTCAGTGGCCTTTCTGAATGCAATGTTTAATTAAAAAAATGAAAGTTAGTAGAACTTCATAAAAATGAGCAGTAATGAATTTACAACACAGTATGTAGTATTAACCAGGAAGCTGATGTTTTGCCACGCATTGGCAATTTCTCATCCGTAGTGACTCAGCTGATTGAAATGCAAATCATATAAAGCTTGGTAATCAAATTAAAAACTCATCTTTTTGCTCAGAAAAAATGTTTCCAGACAGATTTATTAAAATTCAGTTCTCTCTCATGCTTTGAATGAAGTTGAAATTAATTAACCTGTTTAATAGATGATAGTGGCACAACCAGCTGCTGCCATGGATGTAACTGATGCAAAACAGTGTAGGATTAGAGCTGGGTAATTAATATGTCAGTAGGCGGAAATACCTTTTAAACTTTGCTCCTGTACCTGGGAATAAGGTTACATGTGACAAGCATGGCAAACTAAGTTATTTTATCCTTGCAATTTATGCTACAAAAGAAGAAGAATATTAACATTCTCTAATCTATTTTCACTCTATTTTAGAAAGGGGTTACCCTATGTAAAAAGATGGTGGCAGGACACGGTGCTGAAATGTGCCCGATCACCTCTCCCAGGGAGATGTAGAAAATTCAGTTTAGGTTGCTGGGAAAGTGGGTAATTGAATATTTATTCATCATCCTCATAGATTTTGTGTTTAAGTGTCCTGTTGCTAAATATTAATGCATTTTAGGTCTCTGCTAAGAAGGTCTCATTTTTACACTTTTATGTAAAACTCTAAAGCAGTATTGAGGCAGTTAGTGTTGTTTAATGCAGCACATACATAGGCAAGAGAGGGAAGAGGAGAGAGAAATCTTCAGATGAGAAAGGGGTGAGAGAGGGCTGCAGATGTCGTCAGTGCCAGTACCTAATCTTAGTGAGATGCAGGCTAGTAACTTGCAGCTTTTAATACAAGATTGCTTGAGTGAATGATGATACTGCTGTGGTTGTGGCAAGAACATCCAATACTTCCAGCTTCATCCTTACTGAGGAAGAGCAACAACTGGAATTCCAGGAGAAAGTGTTGGGAAATAGATTACTTGGCTTCATTTCTGCATCCTTGTGAGTGAGCTCTACTGTTCCACACCTGGCTGAGAGTTTGTAGCTATCACCCCACTCCTAACTGAAGTGCATAATGTCAAGCCGGGGAGAATGATGCACTCATAGCAACTGAGTTCCTGCACCCACAGGGCATGAAAGGACTTTACAAGACTCTTAGGGCTGTCTCGCCAAGATAGTAATGGTACATTTCTTATTTACATTTTAATATTTTTCATCTATCGACTACAGAATGCCATGTAAACTTAACATATGCTTTTCTCAGGAACGTTCCTTTTTCTGTCATCTACTTCCCATTGTTTGCACACTGAATTGTACAGAAACCTATGGAAAAAAAGCCCTGCCCTGTTGATTTTTTTTTTTCCTAGCTGGTTATGTGGCTGGCTCTGGCTGCTCTATCTGTCAACACCTGAAATGGTAAAAGACTTTTTACAATAGTTCCCTACTTGTTTCTGTGCTTTACTATGGAGTAGTGTTTCACGCTGCTCCATAGAAAGTAAGCAAGAGTAACTCTTGATAAACTGTTTTAAGGTCTAACTGGCATTCATCAGCACAGCAAGGCTTTTCCCAAAAAGGAATGTTGATGCTTGCAGTTAACAAATGAGAATTTTAAAAGGTCAAAAAATATATAGCAGACATATGGGATTGCAATCCCACACAAACAAAATTGAATATTTCCATTAATTCCAACAAAGGAGGAGTATGTTAGTGGCTATGTGATAGATTTTTGCCTTCTTAGGGTATCACTGTTGCTAGAAACAAAAATAAACAGGAAAATAGTCTAATATCAGCTCTTGTGCCAACAGCTAAATGTGCAGTGGCTCTGAGAGTTATCAGCAGGTTAATTCTCAGCGGGCACAGCGGCCATCTGTAAGAATAAGTAGAGATTCAAGGTGGGCGTAGCAAGCCTGTCTTCATCTTCCTGGCTCTTGGATGCTTTGGGTCTGTTACTTGCCAAAATAAAGCAAGTCTCGTTCTGAATAACTGACAGAGGACGTGTGCTGCTTTGTAGATGTGGATCTCCATGGATAAATCTGTTTCATTTAATGCTCCATTTTAAAAGTGAAAGTTATTTTTTCCTAAAGTAACGTTTGCAGTCATTGAACAACTGAAGAGAGCTATAATGATGTAATTGACTGTACAAGGCAAAACAGGTGGCTGGGAGAGGGTGATAAAAGACAAAGTTCTCAGTAGTAATTAACCCCTTTAGTGGCACGTATGACCTAAAAATTTTACTTAATAGGTCTTGGAACCTCTTAATGTGTCTGTACAGAGCTGCGAATCCTTAGTGCTGAAATAGTTTAGTTTTAGATCATTAAAATCCTTTTGCTAACATTTCATTTATTTACACACCATATTTTATTTTCTAGCTGTAACTGCTAAGACATGCAGAATGATAGTCTTGATCCTCAATCAAGAAAGCATGGAGAATTTTATTTATTTTTGGTCAGCCCTGTTTATGTCTCTGCTGTAGTCCTGCCAGCCTACCTACAGTGCTTTTGGTTTAGCAAAGGTCGCGTTTACTTGGGCAGGGTTAATTTAACCAAACTGCCTTTTCACCACTCCTGTTGCAGCTCTGTCACTGGATTCTATAAGCTCTTCTGCTCTGTGTTGAAATCTGTTGAACTAGTTGGAAACTAGCTCTCACGCTCAGTGGTTAGTCTGTTATAATCATAGCTTGCTGCTGAGCCATCAGCTCTAAAGCAACTGTAGCACTCACAGGAGGGGTAACAAACAGTCTTAGGGAAAACCAAACATTTGATTAGCTTACATTTAGTTTCTTATTCTTGGGTAAACACTTCTCACCGGTGCATGTTCAGCACATAGGATGGGGCTCAGCTCACTTTCACCCCCAGCATGGGCCAGCTGACCTGTGGGGGGGGAAAGAGAGTTTTTTGAGTTTCACTTGGACTTTGATGGTATTACTCTCCCCTTTCAGAGAAGAGCGTGTCAAGATCTGAAACTGATCCCCTTCAATGCTCAGAGAAAGTTTTTCAAAACATGTACTACAACAGAAAAAAAGAGGCATACTCCACTAATGCAGAAAAACATGGAAAGTACTCCCAGCAATACTAACGAGCACAGGTCTGCACAACGCTAGTGATGATGCATAACTGCAGTGTAGATATTCAAATAAATGTGCTAGCCCAAGTTGACTACACTGAAACAAGGGTCTTCAGAAAAAGCTAATACTACACATATGGAGAAATACAGTTGCCAATGTGAAGGCTGTAAGAGTATGCCAAAATCTAATTAAAATGTTCAACAATAAGTCTACATGTTGCCTTTTTTTAATTATTCTTAAATGTATCAAGTGTTTTGTTTCTGAGCAACTCTTCACATAATATCTGGCATTTATGAGCAAAAGTTCACACATACGTGTAATTAATTCCCCTCTCCCAAGTAAATTACAGGTGGGTTCAATATACAAACCTGGGATCCTGTGATTCTGCTTCTTTGCATGTCACAGGTTATCCAGTTCATTAAAGTAACTCTAGCGATTCATCTTTAGAATAAAACTTTGTGCACACCAAGCTGCAAACCTGTTGTGAAATACTTTTATTTATGTTTAGTTGTGAGCAGACAGCGGTACATCTCTACCACATTCTGTTGGAAGCTCACATGTTACAGAGCTTTTGTGGTTTAGTGCAATAGTTTGTCCTAACCTTCTCATGAACACAGTCACTATAATCAGTGTTGCATTTACCACACTTGCAGCTCACAGCCACAGGGTAGGAATAATAAGGGATGGTGTGAAGAGGACAGCCTGGAATCAGTGCTGTTTGATACAACATCTCTTTGTATGTGCACACATTCTGGGACAGAGCACTTTTGAGGAGCAGCTTCTTGCCATTGCTGTCCTACAAAGAAAAGAAAAATGCATTGTTTCACCTAGGCATACATGAATGACAAAAAACTTCCTTCAACATTTTCTCCAGTATGCAGAAATCAAACCTCTTCCCTCTTGGACTAGTTCAGGTATTTCCAGTGTACCTCTGTTCAGACCTGTCATTTTGAATCTGCATGTGATTGGAGCTCTCTGCCCCTGCAGAGATGTTCACTTTGCTTTTATGGTTTTAACTGTAATCTACTGCTTGGCTTAGAGAGCTAACACTGCTTTATAATCTGTATTGGCTACCTACTGACCAAAGTCAGTAGGAATTTAAAATGCTATGTTGAACAGTGAAATTGAAGCACAGTCTGTGGCACGCCTGTATGCAAGATACTCTCCGTTCTCCATAGCCAGCTGTCACAACAGTGGCCATTGCTTTTACCACATGGCAAATTTGTGGGAGGAGAAGTTACACAAATAATTTACTTTAAATAAGGGAGTAATTTTAAAAAAATCTGCTTCTCACTTACTCCATCCTGACCCCACAGACTGACAACAGAGGCCCTCCAGTGATTTTATAAACTCCTTGGTTCAGGAAGCTTGGCATTTCTCATTCTTACCTTCAGAATTTAAGCTAAGTTGAAAACAATGTGATTTTTCTATCTATGACAAATACCATTAGATTAGGATAATTTTCACACAATTTTCTAGTAAGAACAAGTGAGAATAGGCATTTGTTTTGCAGTAATG